ACCCGGCAACAGTTATCTACACTGTGTGACATGTTATGCCAGTTAAAGTGGACCTTTACCCCCCTTTCACTAAAAATTACATCAGCATACAGCTCTGCATGCGGATGTCATCTTACATTCATTAGTTAAACAAACATGTTCATCATTTCCTTACAAATAGCGTTCATCTACTTCCTGGTCCACTTCTGTCACATATGATGTAATGTGCCCAAGTGATGCATCCTGGGAAGGTTACATCAGCAGAGCATTGCTGGGAAATCTCATCTGTAATCTCAGGAGATCTCAGGGAAAGGCATTTTCCTCCCGAGATGATGTGCATGGTCACATGTCCTAGTCACATGTGCCAGAGTTCCAGGAAGTAAAGGGAGATCTAGTAACCTGCCCTTAGTTACCATAACCACTGAGAGAAGACTGAGCAAGAAAAAAGAAATAAGGTATACAAAGAATACAAAGCCGGCAATTATCTAGAAGTATGTGTATGTAGATTGTCATCATTACTAAACATTTGTAAAGGTGTGTTTGTTATTTTAAAGATCTGGGTAAAGGTCTGCTTTAATGTCTCCTTAAGACACCGTTCACACTAGGGCCTAACAGGGACACGCAGGACACACAATTGCAGGACTGTCTCCCGCATGTCTCCACTGGGTCCCTGGACACGTGTCGACTGCAGAAAAGAAGTACATTGCAAGTTTGGGGACATACGTTGCGCATTTTTCTCCCACACGTTCATGCACCTTCTCCCACAAGTGAATGCATGAGGAATAACTGTTTGCTCTGCCCTTTTGGGGTGCCATTGCCTAGTAAGGCAATGCAAACACGTGCGTCTGTGCACGCATCATGAACGCGCGTTGAAGAGTGCACTCTTGATGTGCGATTACGATATACCCCAAAGTGAACGGAGCCTAAGATAACAGTCAGCTATTTTTAAAAATCTCAGATACCCTCATACCAAAGTCAGTGGTTTTAGCGGTGACACGTAACGCTACCCTTATCACAGGGCTGACAGATCAGATGATTCAGCTCTTTCTGGAAAACCGATCCAGCTGCACCTTACTCTACAGAGAAATGTATTAGATGGGGTTTCTGCAACATAACTGACTGGAGTATTTAAAAAGATCCAATGTAGACTGCAAGAAGACAGGAAGTCATAAAAGCATTGAAATAAAAACATCAGCATATATCCTGCATCTGTTTTCTCTTTTTACAGCCAATCAAATCATCTGCTTAAAGCTGTCCATACACTGATAGATCCTACGAACGTTTATATGAAGGAAATGAAATGGCCAATAGCAGGCCAACACAATTATTTAAAAAATATATATAAAAAAGTGGAAAAAGTCATTTTCGGTTTCGGCCTGACTAATTCTGCTGTAGGACGTGCGTTGCAGTGCCATTCATTTCAATGGCCACCCACCCACAGTGTGATTGCCTGCACTGGAACGCATGGTATTGCGATGCCGTGCGTTCCAGTGTAGTGTGATTGCAAAAAAATTGCGCATGCAGTTTTATTCTAAAGTAAAACTTTATGTTTGTAACACTGCATTTGTGTATTTTATTTCAAAGGATGTTATTTACTTATTTTTTTTAATCCGATTAATCGAGAAAAATAAATAAATCGGCCAACTAATCGATTATGGAAATAATCTAGATTTTTCTAACAAGATTCCACTGGTCAGCCTATCATGTTTAGGACACTGGTCTTAGGTAACTGTTTATTTGTATTACCCCTGCCCCCAAAGGTTTCAGTGCCTTACAGACCCAGTCTATACATATGGGTACCTACCGGTACCTCGTCATAGATAGAACGATACAAGGAACCTTAGTATTAGCCATTAAACTGACTGTAAAACATGATTTACATACCATGGTCATTTCTGGCTGACCTGGTGGGTTTTAGTGTTATCTACAATATTATTGCCAACTCCAATTACCAAAAAAAAAAAAAAGGGGGAGGATTGCTTCACTACATGCCATAACCAAGAAAATCATTAAAAACCTCAAAACACGTCATCTTCTAGCACATTGGTAAGCCTCTGTTCACACTGGTGCGTCTGCATTTTCACTCATTTTTAGCACGCCTTTGTTGTGTGCTTTTCAAGCATTTTTAATGCATCTGTTTTTGTTTTGGTCAATGAAGGTGAAACAAAGTATAAGTTACTAGTGGTGGGGGCCTGCTATGTGCTAAAATGCACATAAATGCATGTTAAGGTGCCTATACACTAGTAGATATTTCCATCAAAAATGTTCGTTTCTGTCACGACCCCTCGTTCGTTCATAGCGCAAATACTCCATCAAGCAAAGTCAAATGTCGATTTCGGAAATCAATCGTTAGCAATGCTAACCAACCAATTTTTGACAAACTATGGAAATAATTTCTTTTTGCGCATGTGCTGTGTTCTTGCTAAGATTTTTGATGAAAGAAAACTGTAGTATGGAAAAATTTCGATCACACTATATCAAAAAACGTAAATTGTTGATGTACAATCAACTGTTCGATTTCCATTCGAAAGACCGCCTGTGTATGATTTCCGAGCGAAAACGATACAATGTATGGCCACCGTTTCATGCGCTCCCATTGTAGTCTATAGGCCTAAAAACACGTAATGACGTAGCACCTTTCCAAAAATCGTGCACGACAATTTCCACTGGCGTGATAAGCGTCCTCCAAGGACGCATTGTATTTTGACATTCAGGAAAATCTCAACGGCTATTGTTACACAAACGTGTGTATCTTTTGTATCACCTAAACAACCTTAGGCTGGGATTAGCTTATCCGCATGAATAACATATTACACCACTTGTAGACTACTTAGGACAATAAAAAGACTCTGGTTCAGCAGGTGTAAACATGGAGGACCCAAGTGAATCACATTTAGCTTCCTAAAGAAATGTGTATTCATTGAAAAATGTTGTTTTCTATAAAATACTTTGCACCTTTGCTGCACCTCAGTGCGGTCCCTGCTGTCACTTCCTGTCTATATGTATGCATCCACTACAGTGATGGCTGCATGACATTTCTCAGAGCAAAATTCCAGATGGTGACAACAGTGGACCATGCCTGCGTAATGTGCAGTGAATGGCCGACACAGGAGCACAACTAGAGGACAGAGCGTTGTCACCCTATCACAGGAAGAGCCCAAACAAGGACCTTCATGGCAGGATCACCAGGTATTCTTTTAACCCTTTGTCATTGACTGCCGGAGGGGCCTTAATGAGATTCTTAACACCAGGAGTTGGAGGCGGATTTCCCGATCATGCAATCGCTGTGATCACAGCGTGTCCCACCTGCTCCTCATCAGTGACTGAGAACTGTCAGTGACCCTATGGTCACTGTACTGGGAGGATGACAGTGAACATGCTCTCAGCACACAACACAGCGCCTTAGTATAAAAGCCCACCTACCGTGCTGCCATATATATATGCGTTACGCTGGCAGGAACAGGTTAATGAAAATCTACATTTAAAAAGGCTGAAAGACACTTCCGAAATGACTTTAAAGCCAATACCTAAAACGTTTCTGGGGGG